ATGATCAGTAGTCTCACACGATAGACAAAGGTAGATGAGAAGAAAACCGAGTTTCACAGCTTATATTATAAAAATTATGATTACAAAGAGTTCCATAGTTCCCTGAGTCCAGCGCTCAACAGCGCAATGCCAAACCAGCATCAACTCATCAACATGACTCCCAATACATCAGCACTACTTCTGCAGATTGTCTCCAAGTCATCAATGTGGTCACCACTCATCAGCGCCACCTCTGCAGTTCACAGTCAACTCAGGTAAGTATCTTCCATAGCCAAGCCTTGAATGAACACTCTCTGCCTCGGTCCCTTCCTCCTACGATGCATACACACTATTTACTCGTGAGGATCTACTCTGAATACTACTCATAGTTGCCTACTACTAACCCTCTACTACTAGTACTAACTCGCTGGGCAGCTATGGATGCATCACTTCCAGCGTACAGGCTTCTTCCCTTACTCAGCGCATCTTCATCCTCCAGCGCTACTCCTCCTGACTTAGCGCACAAGTGCACCAGCACTTCCACGCAGAAATGGCCAGTGGAGATCTGGCGAGGAATGAGGCTGGCTGCTTTCTTTATAGTGTTGGCCTTTCCTCGCTGGGTCTGCATTGGCTGCTTCAGGCCTTCCTTTGTCCCAGACCCTGCATTGCATGTGTCCCAGTACAGTCCCAATGAAGTTCAACTGCTGCTGAGGCCTTTCAGCCTAGATTTAGACTTGAAAGTCTGGATCTGGACTGCCCCCTTGACTCAGACCAGAACTGGGACTTTACCTATTGACTTACTTTCGGACAGGCACGTCTTTAGACAAACAGACACACTCACTGCCTGAACAGACACTCCCAAGGTTTGAATAGACACTCTTCTTTGCACGAACAGGTGCACTGACTGCACGCACAGACACACCCTATTTCGAACAGACATGACATGCACATCTCCTGGTGAACAGGTAAGTCTTTGACAATGTCCTTTGCTTTAGATTTGGATGTGCCCGTTGATAGAGAACTTGACCTTTGACCTGCTTTCACGTTTCTGAGCCCTGGCGAGATACCCTTTCATGCTGCTTTACTTTTACAAGGCCTGAGGCCTGCATTGGGTAAAGGCCCTTTTAATTACATGGCCTTGGACTCTAGCGGATTTGGGCATGACTGAAAAGTATCCATGATTTTCTACAAACAGAACATCAATGATTTTCTTCTAACAGAACACGACACTGCCTGAATTGAACTAGATATCCCCGAACTAGCCACACCCTGACTCGAAATCATTGGTTATTTCTGAATTGGGAATGTTCAAATGAAGAAAATCAGAGTCTGGCGCCAGATGAAGAAAATCAGAGTCTGGCGCCAGAAAGGAGACTCTCAACATCTGGCGCCAGTACCTCCGCGAACAAGTTCTTCAGTCACGCAATAACATGTTTGCTGGTTTTCTCCGAAAAAATGCGTAGTTTTCTGATGGTACTATATGGAACTACCAGACCCCAGTGAACCAGTTTTCTGATGGTGCTATATGGAACTACCAGACCCCAGTGAACCAATCGGACGACTGATACAGGCTGTAGATGAAAAAACGTGGGGTCTAGCGGTAGCAGTGGGGACAAAGAAGTTGCAAGAAAATGCACAGAAATACCRAAGTTTGCCGCCATCTTGGAATGTTTTTTTGAATGCTTCAATATTTTCCATGAACAGAACCAAATGCAATAAACTCAGTTCAAATCCGCATGAGTCAAGGCCAGGGTCRTAACTTTTSGTCRAAGGCCAGAAAGAGGTTTAAAAAGCCGCGTCCTGAGTTCTCCCAGGTCAAGGGGTACGGGGCCCTGAGTCAAAAGCTGTGTCCAGTACCCCCACGCCAGGTAGTTGACTCTTGGAAAATCAAGAGTCAGACCCAGCACAGGAAATGCAGGCCCAAATTCAGAGTCTCCCTGTAGTCAACCACAGCCGTAGATCAGGTGCACATCAAAGGTTGTCTGCAGGTTTCCAGAAGAATCCAGTTCCGACAGGGACATGACACATCTGGGACAGCATTGCATCCAGGCCATCGATTTCAAGAAAATCTCGGCCGTAGACACGGTCCAGCAGGAGGCTGGTCAACGCCACTCAACACTATAAAAAGAAGACCAGGCCGAGGGGAGACGCATTCTGGCTTGCTGTGACTCGCAACCAAGCTGCAGCGCGCAAGGCTTGTTCGCGGAGGTACTGGCGCCAGATGTTGCCGGAGGGCGCCAGGACTTGTTGGAGTGCCCACAGCCGCCATAGCTGTAGGTGATGAGGCTGGGCGAGGGCGAGGAGGATCCTGTCTGTGAGACTGATGGAGGTTCAAGGGGAAGCTTAGCTGGACTTACCTGTCGCATTGGGAATGAGCTGCTGACGGTCTCCATGAAGTTGAGGGAGGTGTTACATGCTGCGCCTGCAACAGGCTGCACGGGCCATTTTCAGGCCCGTGACGTTTTCAGGCCAAAAGCCTGAAAACAAGGGCCTACAGGCCCTGTGTCGTTTCAGCCTGAAAGCCTGAAAACAAGGGCCTACAGGCCCTGTGTCATTTCAGCCTAAACAGGGCCTTCCAGGCCCTGAGTCTTTTCAGCCTGAAACAGAGGGCCATTTTCAGGCCCTCATAAGATCGACCTGCCCTGAAACTTAGGCACCAGACCAGGGTTTCATCACAGGCCATTTTGGGCCTGTTTTCAAGACAACTTTTGTTTGAACTTCAACGCCAGGGTCTGGCACGTTTTGGCATTGGCAAGAGCAGCCTAGAGCAGCCTCCTGGACAGGCCAGCACTATATAAGACTGGCCCGCCCTGCAGGCTGCAGGTAGTTCATAGGGACTTCCCAGGCACTTCACGTGCAGTTCAGGAGGCAGGAGGTAGTCTTCAGGATTCGGCAGCAGCACTCTGGAGGAGTGCTGCAGTAGTAGTAGTAGCGTTAGCAGTAGTCTTCAGTGCTGGGCGCTAGTAGGAGCTAGAGTAGTACTGGAGGGAGAGAGAAATTGGGCGGAGGCCAGGGAGACTTACCTGCAGCGCCATAGCTCCAGCTTCGCTTCGAGGTACCTGCAGCACAGCGCCATCTTCACAGGTTAGTACCTGGCATATGAGAGAGAGAGAGTTCTTCTTCTTCCTCTTCTCAGTCCACCATCTCCCTCTCACCATCTTCACAGGNTCTCCCTCTCACCATCTTCACAGGTTAGTACCTGGCATATGAGAGAGAGAGAGTTCTTCTTCTTCCTCTTCTCAGTCCACCATCTCCCTCTCACCCTCTCACTACCTGACTTCACTGCATCAGCAGACTACGAGAGCGGGCTTGGTGACATTTGGATCCAGACTCGACATTGGACTTCATTTGACGAGGGATTATCTGGGACTTGTACCGAAGACTTGGTGTTGACGATATTCCCATCTTCTCCCTTCCTCTTCGTCTGTGTATGGTCTGGACCTGGCGCATTCTTCCTGTGTGTAGCACCAGGCCCCTTCACACCTTGTGATGAGGATGATGTATGTTTGGTCTGTATTGCGACATTGATTGGGCTAGTCATTGGTATTCTAGCACTCTGCTGCGCTGTCTTGTACTACGTGAGAGAGGTCAGTCCCGGTCAGGTCAGGGCTTATATCTAAGTCTTCCGCTGCGCTACAAGGCGCCATTTTGCATGTATCAGGATGTACATTGCTTGTTGAGATTCTACTAGCACTGCATTGTCCATTCAGTCCTTTTCATCACATTGCGGATCCTTGGGTATGTATGTACACCGCCCAACTGGGCATGTAACAAAGGACTGCACCATCCTCCATAGATCGACTTTGCACTGTGGAAGGAGGATGGGCGCCCTGCTGGAATCTGCACAGTGACTCTGTCAAGGATCATTAGAAGGCCAACATGCGTTGATGAGGTGGAGAAGGGGAGAAGCCTGAAGAAGAAGTGGGAATGGGAGAGCGACATATGTGTATTATTGATTACTAATGTATTGATTATTAATGTAACTCCTCTCCCTCGTCTGTGTATCTTTTCTCCCATTTCTCTTTCTACCTTGTTCTTCTATGATGGTCCACTACCTCTCAAATGTGCATTCAATTGGTATATGGACTTGCAAGGAATATGAGTGTGAGCAATATACATAAAACCACGTTGCGAAATCACACAGCTGAGCAAGTAGTAGTATCCCAAGTAGAGAGTACAAATGCACCGAGAAAACCATCCATAAAGAGCAATACAATGAAGTATTGAGCCAATGTCCAAGCCCGTAGGCCACACCAACATAGTATCCAGAGTCGCTCTCTCTGTCTGGTGCACAGCGCCCAGCCTACTCTACCATACTATCCTACACTACAGCTGGTTCACACAACAGGATCACTTCGGCTCACGAAAACCAACCTCTCTTCATGTACCAGGTACGTATCTCGTCACCCTCAATCAGACCTTGATTACCCCACACAGCGCCTCACTCCCTGAAGACCACCCGATCATCCGCTGTACCCCCTGGCGCCCAGCTGCCCTGCAATGCCCCACCTCACCTCTCGCGCCCCGTCAGCGCCCTTGGCAGCAGCGCAGCATCAAGCGAGAGCGCAACAACACTTCCGCATTGCCAGCGCTGGCCATAATGCTGGCCTCGGCTGCCTCACTTCCTTTATGGAAGTGGCAGCCTGCTGCATGCTGCTTGTGGCCTGGCTGGAAGCTTCCAGTAGCTTCCGGTTGGGCCTCAGACCCTGTGCCCAGGCCGAGACTTATAGTTGAGGGCCTGGGCCCTTTACAGTTGGGCGCGGCCTGGGTCTGGGCTGTTAGCTGCATCTGCGCAGGGCCCCCAGGTAGGTGCGTCGGCTGTACTGCTTTTCCAGAGGCCGACGGCCTGCTTCCCAATGTATCGGCCCTGCTTTGTGTGTAGGTGCCCAGGCACAACTTTCGTGGCCTGGGCCAACTGTACGACGCAGCTTAGTGAGGCTCGCACGTTCACTCAACCAACTGACGCGCTGCAAGAGCCTGAATACCCACATATGGAAATGTCGTATTTGGCCTGTGACGAATATTCAGGCCCGCCTTTACTTAGGGCGGGCACTTGGCTTGCTGGGGTCTTGGCCCAGAACAATGTGATGTCTGATAGGGGCCACTTGAGGGCTTGTTCCTCACATTCCATCCCCCTTAGCTTCGAAAGTCCGCTGAGATGCTTCATGCTGGTGCCTTCCCCTTCAGTCTTTTCTCATAATCCGCCACGATCTGAGGAGCTGTCTTGACAAGTTCCTCCCTTGAAATCCATCGATCTTCCTTCGGATCTGTATGATGCTTGAAATGTACTCTGTATTCCCTCGCAGGTTTGGGAGGTCTTCCCCTTCCAGGTGGCTTAGGAACAGGAGTATCTCTGTGATCCAGGATGTCGTCGACGTCCACTTGGCCATCCATGGTTGGGGGCAGCATAGATCTCCGTGATGGGAGTTGTGCTGTCTCAGCGAAAGGTGCAAGCTTGGAGGCGTGAAACACAGGGTAAGTGCGTAAGTGACCAGGGATACGAATGACGTACGAAGGACCATCCATATCATTCCCGACAATGTCCTGGACTTCCCAGGGACCGAAATACTGCGGCATTAGTTTTCTAGAGATGCCAAACTCCTGTCCCAACTCACTAGCCTTGACCCAGACGCGTTCCCCTACCTGAAATGTGGACTGTCGGGGACGCTTGTTCTCAGAAGCAATCATGACTTCCTGAGATTTCTTGATATGTTCGACAGACTGCTGCAGCAGTTTCTCATATTGGACACCAAATCCAATGGTTCCAGGCGTTGCAGCAGTTCGGTTTTCAGGCAGGAGGAAGTCTAGAGCAGATCTAGGCTTCCATCCGAGATGTAGTTGATTAGGACTGACACCGATGGTGCTGTGTACAGCGTTGTTGTATAGACTGGCGATGAGAGGTAACTTCTCATCCCAGTCATCCTGGCTGGGCTTGATGTAATGCCTCAGCAGATGCTGCACCACTCGGTTCATCTGTTCAGCCTGCCCATTTGCTTCGGGATGATTCCCAGAAGTCATCTGAAGCTGCCTGCCCATCTGTTCAACGACCTTCTTCCACATCTCACTTGTGAATCTCACATCTCTATCACTAACGATAATCTTTGGAAGTCCAAAGTCACGCACCCAGTTGTCCATGGCGATTAGTCTAGCGTACTTAGTGAACCTATCTACTATGACGAAGATGTGCCTCTTGCCATTCTTGCTGGTCACGAGAGTGTCCATGAAGTCCATGGAGATACTCTGACCCGGGCCAGCAGGAATGGGTAAAGGCTTGAGTAACCCAAACGGAGCTTGAGTCTGCGGCTTGTCCCGCTGACAGACCTGACAGGTCTCCACATACTTCTTCACATCGTCAAGCATGTTAGGCCACCAGAATCGTTGTACTAAATTAGCACTAGTCTTCTTATAGCCGAAGTGTCCCATTGC